TCTCCCTGCCCACAGAGGCACCCGCTGGGCGCTGGTTCTCAGCCACGCGGGGTGACCGTCCTTCTCTTTTGGTGGGAGCCAGGGCAGTCGTTTCGCCCTCCCTCAGCGCTGGCTCCTGCCCCACACGATGTGGGGAGCCCGTGCCTGGATTTGCCTGCTGCCTTCCCCGTGCTCAGCAAAGGGGCTCCCGCTCTCCCGTCCTTTACAGTTGTGATGAAACAAGCCTCACTTCTGAACCAGAGTGTTCAAAAAAGTGTGGGAATAGTGGTGAGCGAGGCTGTTCGGAGGACAGGCTCTTTCTCCACGTTTTCTGAAGCCCGGGCATTTTTGCTGTGGGCCAGCAATCCTCTTCCCTGCTGCATTATAACACACATGGCGGTTTTCTGCTGTTGTGTTTGTTTATTGCCCCTCCTTTGGAGGCGGGGGATGCTCCCTGGGGGGGGGGAAGGGTGCGAACGATGAGGAGCTCAGCCGGTGGTTGGAGTGCTCTCCGCTCCCCTTCGCTTTGCTGCGTGATGCCAGGCACGTTCTTCGCCACGGTCCCTTCTGCTCATCTAATTCGTCCCAGCCTCAGACTTAATTTCATGAATATTTATAGACCCTTGGCTAGGAATCTCCATTAAATAGGTCATAAGCCGGTATCAATCAGTGTGGTTCAGTGAAATGAGGAGGTCTGAGGGGGCTGAACTAGTCTCTACTAAGCTCTGGAGCACGGTGTCCCCTCTCCTCTGGCGCCTCGCTTGCAGGGAGTCTTGATGTTGGGCTGAAACAAGTCCTGTTGCTTTTGAGTTTTCTGCAGCCTTGTGCTTGCATTGTGCATCGAAGGGGGTGTGAGGACTCACTCAGGTGTCACCGAGAGAACCCCAGGGCTGCTGGGACTGAAATGCTTAGTTTGCTTTAGCCTGGCCTCAGCGTGGGGCATATTACGTGCTTGACCTTGGGTTTGCTCACATCCCCCAGCACCCAGCCTGCAGCACCTTTGCTGATGCTCATCCCAGCAGGCGGCTCTCGCCCAGCTCCGTTCAGGGACCACCGACGATGGGGACGTATCCCCCCTCATCCCTTCCCAGCAATATCCAGGGGATTACGTGCTGCAAAAGCCATCTCCAGTATTTCCACCTTCCCAAACATCAAAACCCAGCTCAGGGTGTCTGTAGGTTCCCTCCTCCACCCACTGCCATCCCCTGCCCGGGGCAGGAGGCAGCGGCTCCCCCCTGCCCGCTCCCAGCCCGGTGCGGCTTCTCATCCCTCGACAAACAGATTTTTTAGATTTTCTTGGCTGCTCCTTGTTTTCCGCTCCTGAGCTGTAACAAGGGCTCCAAAATGTTCTTTCCATTGGGAACCAGCAGTGGAATAAACTGATCCTAATAAATGCCTGACAAATTAATTTTCCAGCCAGCAGATGACCGGCTGGGTTTATGTGACTCTAACCTGCAGTTACCTCTCCTGGAACCGGAATATTTTTTTTTTTTCCCACTAAAACCACCACTGCTGTTTCTGCCACCGGTCGAGAAGCAGCATCTGGCTTGCCCGATGGGTTCAGGGCTGCTCCTTTCCGGCGGTGTCTGTGCTCCTTTACATAGCAAAGAGCTGCTATTTAGGAAGCAAAGGCCACAGTTCGCTGCTTGCTTGGAAAGAGCCACAGCTGTGCAGCTGTTAAATTTGTCTGCTGCTGCTTTAAATGCTCCCTTGGGTGCTGTCCGGCTTGTCGGGAAGCAAAGCAGCATCATGAGGAGGAGAAGGGACTTGCTGCAGCTCCTCTGGATCCCCAGCAGCTGGAAACCCCTGGGGGAGTGGACGTTAACCTGAATTTCTTTACTCTTTTTCTCATCCACCACCTAGAGCAGCAGCCTTTTGGAAGTCCCTGCTTTCAGGCTGAATGCTCTCCCAGCTCCTCTGCAGCCCCCTTTACCCTGGGCTGCTTCGGGAGTTTGCCTCTTGTGATGTTGGATGTGTTTAAGTGTCGTTTAGATGTGGTGTTGGGTGAGATGGTTTAGGGGTGAACTTGTAGTGTAGAGTCAGGGGTTGGACTTGATGATCCCAAGGGTCTTTTCCAACTTGAATTGTTCTATGATTCTATTTGCAACCAGTCCTGCCCCATTTGGTAAAGCACAAAATGCAAACCCAAGCGCTTGTTGCCAAGCTTGGGGCTTTAACTGGGCTCTTTCTCCCTCTTTTCAGAGCAATTTTACTTAGGAGAAGCTAAGTTGTTGTTTGACCATGTAAGCCTTGGGGGTTGTTTTCTGTCCGCAGCCTGAAGACCAGCCGGTGCAGTGCGGGCAGTACGACGGGCTGGTGGAGCTGGCCACCATCTGCGCCCTCTGCAACGACTCCTCGCTGGACTACAACGAGGTGAGGAGGGGCACCGCGGTGGGGGATCTGGCGATGCTCTTCCCTGAGCTATGGGGCAAAGCCAGCGGGGGTTTGTCCCTTGGGAAACCCTTCCCTGGCTTCAGCTCGCCCCGAGGCGATGCTCTGGCAGCCCTGGGATGGTGCAGCGAGCGACAGCTCAGAGCAGCAGGTACACAACGTGCTCCAAAGGTTAAGCTCCTATTTATTTTTATTTTTTTCCCACTAGTCCAAAAAAGTCTATGAGAAGGTGGGGGAAGCCACAGAAACAGCCCTGACGTGCCTGGTGGAGAAAATGAACGTCTTCAACACCGACACCAGCAAACTCTCCAAGGTGGAGCGAGCCAACGCCTGCAATTCGGTGAGTGGAGGCGAGGCTTCCCCTGCGCTCCGCTGCTGGAGGACGGGAGGCAGAGGACGGTTTTGGGACAACTGTTATTTGAGCAATAACCACTTGCAGTGACCTAAGGGACTGATGTGCCACAGGGTGCAATTTCCTGGCTCACAGGGCACTGAGCTGTTTTCGGAGCAGACAGTGCAATGGCCCTGGAGGGGCTGATGCTGGGGCCATGGGGAGTAACCTGGGTCTATGTGGGGCTTCAGAGCTGTGGAGCCAGTGATCCCTGAGGCTCAAACTCAGCTGGGAGAGGCTGTCTCAGGGATGGCCAGAGCTCCAGCTCGCTGCAGATGGGGAGTTTGGGAGTTTTGTAAATTCACGTCAAATCTGTGGGTGCCCGCAGGCATCGTCCATCACACGGACCAAACCTTCTTCTCCAGAGCCGTGCCTGCCCCTACCCCTCTTTGCAAATATCTGGTTTTCATGTGAAAATATCCCATGCTGGCTCTTCCCTTACTCCAGCTCTCTAGTTTCCCTATCCTCCTGGTAAAAATACACTTCATTTCATGCCTGGATTTACTGGGCTTTAGCATCATGCTGTTGGGTCTTATCATGTCATTGCTTGCTCAGAAGAAGGGTTCTCTGTTCTGGCAGTTCTTCCCCGGATTGGTCAGAGCAGGTCGTAATAAATCTCTTGATTCCTTTCAGATAAGGGAGATGGAATTTCCCAGCTGTGCATCACTCCGGCAACCTCTTTGTTACCCATGCCCACCACTGCCCGTCCACCCATGGGCATGAGCAAATCCCATTTGCACCTCTCTCCTCCTTCCCAGATCCTGTTTGCAGCTTTGCTGCAGTAGGAGCATTCTTTTCACTTTGAACTTGCAAGGTTTTGCCCCCTAAAAGGAGTTTTCTTTGCCCCCCTCACTGATTTATTTAGATTTAGGTTGCTGTAAAAGTCCTGTGCCAAAATCTGTGTCCCGGGGAGGGATTTGTCTGAGGAGGCAGCTATCTAGCTGGGCGTTCAGCTCCTTGAGTAATGAACAAGTAGCAGTAGGAGAGCCTGGTTTGTGGGGGTTTTGGGGGTGTTGAGGTGCAGGGCACTGCCTGTGCCCACGGGTCTGCAGGCTGGGGCAGCTCCTGCTCTGTCCTCACTCTGCAAACCTGCAGGTACCGTGTGAGTGAATGATGGTTGCTGCTTAGCTGGCAGTCCTCAGGGTAATTAGCAAGGCCTGAAATGAGCCTAATTAGAGTCTCAGCTGCAGAGCTGGTTGATTTGATGGGGAACTGATCTGGTCTGTGGTGATGTTGGTGCTCCCGCTGCCCCATGAGTGCAGGATCAGGGCAAACCCTCAGCTGTAATGGGTTGGGTGGGTTCCCCTTCCCGAAGCCCAACGTAGCAGCCCCACCTCCCTGACAAACGGGGCTTTATCTTAGGCTACAGCAGCTGTTCCCCATCCTGCGTGGGGTCAATGAAGGGAATATTTGGCACTCGCTGGCTGGGCAGCAACGGTGTAGTCGCAGGGGTTGAAATTATCCTGAAAAATGACACAGGGGAAAATCCTTCTGCTTTTTGCACTGTCCCATCCCTCCTGGCCTCTGCGGTTGCCTTTCTGGAGCCACAGCACAAGAAAGATCTGGACGGGCTGGAGCGTGTCCAGAGAAGGGCCACGAGGATGCTCAGAGGCTGGAGCAGCTCTCCTGTGCAGACACACTGAGAGAGCTGGGGCTGTTCACTCTGCAGAAAAGAAGGCTCCGAGGAGACCTTATGGTGGCTTCCAGGATCTCCAGGGGGCTACAGGAAAGCTGGGGAGGGGCTTGTGAGGTTGAGGGTGTCGTGCAGGAACAGGACTAAAGGGGATGGATTGAAGCCAGAGATGGGTTGGTTCAGGTGGGACGTGAGGAAGAAGTTCTTCCCCTTGAGGGTGGGGAGACCCTGGCACAGGGTGCCCAGAGAGGGGGTGGCAGCCCCATCCCTGGGAGTTTTTCAGGCCAGGCTGGGTGGGGCTCTGGGCAGCCTGATCTGTGGGGGATGTCCCTGCCCATGGCAGGAGGTTGGAACCAGATGAGCTTTAAGATCCCTTCCAACCCTGACAATTCTAGGATTCTGTGATTCTTCTCCCATCCCGGGTGCTGTGGCCCCTGGGCAGGGTTGTCAGCCGTCTGTCCCAGCTCAGGCCCGTGCTGTTCCCGCAGGTGATCAAGCAGCTGATGAGGAAGGAGTGCACCCTGGAGTTCTCCCGTGACCGCAAGTCCATGTCGGTGTACTGCACGCCCACCAGCCCCAGCCACAACTCCGCCGGCAGCAAGATGTTTGTCAAGGTAGGGGAGAAGGTCCTCAACACCTTGCAGGATCCTCCTCCCCCGTGCACAGCCCCGGCAGGATTTGGCCCGTGCTGCAGCGGGCAGTGATGCTTTGCAGTTTGTCTCCTCTCTTTAGCTGCCCAGGGGTCTGAGAGCCAGCAGTGTGGTCACTGGTGGACCACACTGATGTGGTCAGGGAGGAGGTGAATCTTTGTAGTATTGATAGGAAAAAAAAATTTAAAAATAGGTAAAAGGATTTTAAGGGAGGAAAAGATGCTGAGTGTGCTGGTGCTGGGTCCAGGGCAGAGCTGCCTCTGTGCAAAACTTGCCTTTATTAAAGGTTTGGAGCCTCCAGACACCAGTAATGCCCAAAGAGCGATGTCCATCTTTCCACTGTAACCAGAAATAAAATAGTGTTTTAAAGGGCATTTTCTTCCCAAGAGAAGAGATGTGGCAGGAATTTCCCCCTGCCGACTCTGAGAAGATTTGTATGTTGTTGCTCCCAGTGGGAGATCTGGGTGGGTGAACTCTGTCCTCCAGGTCAGGTCGGGACCCTCCAGAGCTGCCACATCCCTGCCACATCCATAGCCCAGACGAGCCGGGGTGAGCTTTTTTAAGAGAAGCAATAGAAAGATTGCGAGTTTTCTATTAAAAAGCAATGTCGAGGGTCCTTTGTAAGGTCAGCAGGGATGGGGTGAGATGCTGTGATGCTGAAGGACGTGTTTCCCCAAATCGGAAAGGCATCGCGAGCGTCTGCCGAGCACCCTGCAGGCAGCGCGTGCTTTCAGCAGAGCTTTGCAGCCCTCGTCCCCTCCGCGGCTGAGAGGGGCTCTGCGGTGCAGGAGTAGCTCAGGCAGACGCGTGGGGTTTTGTGGGAGCCGGAGGGATCCCCCGCAAAGCGGATCCTGCTGTCGGGTGACCTGACGCGGGTTCATCCTTCCCCACTTCTTGGTCCCAGGCTGCCATCTAGCGCGCTGAGCCGCCCTGCCGGGATGTGCGTGCTGCAGTTTTGGGGAGATTTCCTTCTCCTTCGCCCAAACTTGGTGCCTTCCTTCCTTCCTTGGGTGCTGGCAAGAGACGCCAGGCTCATTCCCACCCTCCGCTCCTCCCCAGGGTGCCCCGGAGAGTGTGATCGAGCGCTGCACCCATGTCCGGGTGGGCACCACCAAGGTCCCGCTGACAGCACCGGTGCGGGAGAAGATCCTGAGCAGGATCCGGGACTGGGGCATGGGCATCGACACGCTGCGCTGCCTGGCCCTGACGACGCGCCCGTCCGCAGGGAGACCATGCAGCTGCACAACTCCGCCGCCTTCGTCCACTACGAGGTACGGCACTGGGGGGGCTTTTCTTCCTTATTCCGAAAGTTTTCCCACCCGATTCCAGCTGTCCCAGCAGGATTTTCTCTCTGTTTTTGCTGTGGGCAGCGCAGCTTCCCCTCTGCAAACCCTGTCGCAGAGCTGGGGGTCAGTCCCACTTGGCATTCGTTCCCGTGGGGTGGCTGCTGAGA